CAGGTAAGAAATCATCTTTTTCTGTTCTCGCTAATTCATCACGTCTAGGTGGTTTGACATTGATGTCAAGTAGCCTGGATGGTGGAGATGTGTCTTGCAGGCCACTAAGCGTGGACGATGTTGTGGAACGAAAGGTTTGCGTGGGCGTAGTCACCCCATACATATACGGTCTATTATTACATGTTGTAAAAGTAATTGTTTCCGGTTTGTAGGGTCAGCAAAAAAGTTGAAAAGTGGTTCCCTCGTTGATGGTCTACGGGATACTAACATTAATCGTAAAAATGATACTATTATATATTAATTTTGCATGTAATCCTTTTAATATATCATAATAATTCATTGTAACAGCATTAATTTTTGTGCGCGCCGTCCGCACCCATTGGTAATAATTTGCATAACTTGTTTCTTTCCTTTTCTTTTGTTTTTTTCTTATACATAAGAAATCATAATTAAATATATAGATATATATTTTTATGACCCATTTAGAGTAAATACTCTTGGTCTGTGGGGCACAAGAGGACAGGTGCAAATTAAAGTATTAAGTTGACACCTGACAGCGGCGGTAAATCCATAGTGGATTTCCTCGATCAACGGGTAAATTTCGCAATACAGCGAGGATATTCTGCCAACATTCATGAGTTTCCTATTGTTAAATAATATAAAAACATTATCTTAATGTACATGACCTTTTCTTAACATTTACTTTATTCTTTATAAGCATAATATAATATAGAATACCGTAATTATAATTATTAGATTTTTATATTTGAATGATAAAAATCCTTTGAAAGAATAAAAATACCAAAAATATACAGTCGAAACAGTTCTGTCAATTTATTATTTAAGAGAAAGGAAACTACTTAAATATGCAGACGTACGTTCGGTAAGCGAACCCTAACGTAAAAATGTACAATAAAATGTTTTGAACAATTTACAGTATGGAAAGTTATAACGTCAAAAACGTCCCCTTGCGGCCAGGCTTAGGCTTTTCGACCAATTGACCATATTGCCTTGTCCATCCTATTTTGGATATAGATTTATGTTTATTTAAATAAATTATACTGAAGTAATATTCATGTTAATTAAAATATGCTGTTTCTGGTATATACTATCATAATAAATAAATTTTCTATAGAGAAAATTCGACAGTAGGGAAAAAATAAAAGCAACACAGATTATACATAAGTAGGCTATCTTGTGGAATTTTCGATGAAAAAGTTTCATCGCGGCTGAAGTTTATGAAACGATTTTATCTGATCCTTAACCCAAGTCGGTCAAGGTTTCGTACAATAGAGTTCATGTTAAAAAATTTAAACCAAGCATTAGATAATATAGAAAGTTGCTCAATTTTTTCCTAAACTAATTCGAACGCGGCTTTGCCAGTTCACATATTCAAATGTAATAAGTATGACTGTTAAGTGACGTTACACAGTTCCTAGTGGCGCTACAAGCTTTTTGAGCCTGGGCCTCATATTTCTGTATCTGTTTAGTCATCATTTCTTTCTTATTGGCAAGACGGCCTTTTGCGACACACGCCATCAACTTTTCGGGTTTAAGACAGGTTCCGGTTTTATCACGATATTTTCGTACAAGCGAGTGTTTAATGCTCATATAGGCAGAAAGGTACAGCTGGGGATCGAGCCTACCTCAGTGATATGGGTCACATGCCCTACGTCGACACAGGGGGCTTAGAAAGATGACTTAACAGTAGTGTATGTAGAAAGTCGAAAATTTAATTTGTATGAAAATTTTCCGACCCAAATATCACCAATAGAATTACAATTTCACCTACATGTATTATACTAAATTTATTTCTATCTTCAAAAAAGTATAATTTTTATTATAGAATTATTTAACTAATTGGGTTTTCAAATATCAACAAATAGTCTTAACTAAAACTGACGTACAAACGGTCATTTTCCGCCTCTTTGTTTTTTAAATGAAAATTTGACGATACGAACGGTCATTTTCATACAAGAGTTGGTCACTAACAGTGGTTTCTATATAACAATAATTAAAAACGGTATTAATATTAAGGTTTAAATAGCCAGTTATTAAAAAACTTTTGATATAGTTAAAGAAAGAACAGCAAAACTATTTGTAAGGTATGTCCAAATTCACGCATAATTTACGATGTCACTTTTTCCTTCCGTACGATCGATTTCGACCTTCGACCTTCATCGACCTCAAAACGTGGCATAGAAATAATATGTGTTGACGGTGTAAAAATCGATCCTAAATATATGAATGAATGTAATATGTATAATAGTGATAATGGATATTGATTATATGAGACAATTTTTTTATCAAGTTTGGGAAAGATTGGTTAAAATATTATTGTCTTTAAGGGTTTTTGTCTGTGATACAAAATTTTAAACATAACAGTACACATCTTCAAGAGATAATTATAATTAATTATTAGTGATAAGTGACTGGCAATTCCTTCTACTTTATGAAGCGAATTTTTTTTCCACATTTAGCGAAACCTGTTTCAACTTAGATCTGTTTAAATCTCACACTAAAACTTTAGTATTCCCGTCCCTTTTAAGCAAAGTGTAAACACAATTCGACAGATAGAGACACGAGTATTTTAGTTAAAAAAATGGTAAAATTAATTGACACAAGTTTCTCCTTTATTAATCACATAATCTTAATTATAAATAAATCTCATGAAAGTCTAAATTTGATTTAAAACTATAACTATTTACGTAAAACGGCTTCAAAGATTTAGCATCAATAGAAAATCGCATTTTCAAAGTCCAAAGTCCAGTTTAAGTATTCTGATTAACGAGGTTAACGAGGCTGGATATCCACAGTTTCTCCCCTCAAACTCTGTAATCACTTTTTCTTTAGTTTTTAAAATTCTTACTATTTTTCTTCACTTCACGTTATCTTTCTCCTTTGTGAATGTTGCTTGTTTATCACATTTAAACTAATAATTTTTCCTTTAACAATATGTACCAAGCTTGCTTACGCGTTTGTGAATTTGAAAAAGAGAAAATAAAAATAATACAAACATTCAAATGTATTCTCAAGATTACACTAATTTTCATTTTGGCATTTAATACATGGTTTTACCATTTCCACCGCAAACCAATAAACTACAGGCCAGCGATGATGGATTATGGTGAATTAAATGAAAACAAAGGTTTTATTAATCCATTCACAACGTTCATATTGAAAACAGAATTAATCTCGAAAATCATAATCCTTTCTCTTTGTGTTCGTTATTTTTATCAAAGAGAATTAAAAAGCTGCGATTTTGTTTATGTGATATATATGAATAATAAGTTTATACGCAAGTTTAATTTTTAAAGTCTAGTTTATTTTGAAACATATTTAAAGGTATAGTTAAAGTCAAATCATTTATTTCAATTAGGCATATTAAAAAGGACTTTTGAAAGACAACATTATAAGTAAAAAATATTTAAAAAAAGACTCTAGTTGCTCATAAAAGGCAACTTACTCTTTTAAAATAGTTTTTACAATATTTTGTATCCATTGATTGTTAATTATGTATAATTATATGTGAAGACCATGTACCTAGAACAAAAAAAACTACTTTACTTAAAATAGGCCCGTGGTGTTGTAAAAATCAATGAGGCAGGTAACTAAATTATAATGTACTAACATGGTGCTCACATATTCACAAATATTGCGACTATCATCGATTAGTGGTTAACGCATATTAACTCCTACTGAGGTAGATTTTTGGTTAAATCATTTTCAGTAACTAATAGTAAGCAACATTGGAACAAAGATTTGCCATAATACCCATCGAGCTAATAAATTCCTTTTATATTCGTTTATAGTCAAAATATTTCCACAATAAAAAACCAACTAGATTCCAGGATTCCCATCATCGTCATTCAATCATTCCAGGATTTATATCGCAACCCCCGAAAAAGCCAAAAAGTTAAGTAAAACAGTCTTGCGACCCCGTCACTGTAAAATTTTAATAATATGTACATAGCGCGCTTTTTTTAAAGAATCTTTTGTACCTACATATTGTTTGTATTTATTATTTTTCATCAGACTGTGACCTCCTTTTAAAACCCCCCTAAGGTTTGCAACCCCCCGCTGGAGAAACGATGCCCTACTTTATTCTACTATGTCGTGACATAGTTGGGGTAGAGTATGTCAAAGGAGATTTGAATTTTATTGATACGGTCTTGTGCAATAGACCGATACGTTTGTGAAATGATCTACTAACGTGAAATAATAATCATAAAATATATTTCGAGAACAATCTCAGATTTCTGTATCCGTTTCGTGAGCATTTATTCTTCTTAATAGGCAAGTAGGTGATCAGCCTTCTGTGCCTGACCCACAACTTATTGGGTGAGCGGTTGATTTGGTTATGAGTGGTGCGCCATGGTTAACACGAAATGCTGAAGTCCATAAATATTTGGGAATTGCCACTGTCGAGGAAGACATTAAAAGATCAACCGTGCGATACAAAATGAGACTTCAGCAACACGTCAACCCCCTAGCTTCGGGCCTCTTGGAAACGACGGACTTTGTGTATCGGCTGAAAAGGGCAAAACTTGCCGCAGTCTGAGAGTTTACGAATTACGGAGGGAATAAAAAAATATTGTTTTTGCGTTCTCTAATTGCCATCATTTCTCATAAAATCTGATAAAAGCCAAGAGGCTGATTGCAGATGGATTAAAAAAAAACTTATTGGGTTTACATGCCGGTGTCGACACGATGTTATCCTTAGCCAGACGGGAGTGTATTTAACATTTAAAAGAAATATCCATTAGTGCGCAGCTGTGATTTGAATTTTGAACGCACGACCTCAGGGTTGAGAGACGCCCCCTCAAGCACCTAGGCCAACACTGCTCAAGAACCTATATCTTAAAAGTATAAAACCCTGATATATGACACATATTTGTATGTTTGAACAGTGGGCTATCTGCTTTTTAATCATTAAGGAAGTAGGTGATCAGTCTTCTGTTTGGGAACTCAGGCCCTCAAATGTCATGTAAACAACCAAATCAAGAAGGGACAAAAATAGTGCTAATATTACCAACAGTAAATTTAATAGCTAACAAACTATCAAAGTAAAAAAGTTTGCACTTCGTTACGCCTTTTTGTTGCGCAATGACCCAAAGTAAGTCTTGGCCTCCGAGATATTCTTCAAGAAGTCTTGGTATTCGAAGATCTTGCGCTGCTGCTTGCCCATCAATCAATTGGAGCTCGAGATAGTTACTAGTACTCCATGGCGTATTCCCGGTGATATCAAGGCCAACAGGTTTCCTAGATGTATATCCTCTTCTTCTTTCCAAGTCCAGCGTAGTTAGTGTAGTAGAAGTGATTTTGGCTTCCCCCATTTTGGGCTCGGGTTCTCTTCAATCTCCTCAATCCTTCTGATCCTGCAGCCTATCCTTTAAAGCCTAACCTTCCAATTAATGGGGCAGACGTCTTCTATATCAATTTTATCTGAATATTTAAAAAAAATCTGTTAGAGCAATAAAAAACCGTAAAATTAAATATTAGTGAAATATAACAAAGAGCCAAGGTCGCAATTAAAACAAAGGCCTTCTTTATAATTATCTTAATTACAGGGTCTACCCACTGTTTAATTAATAACTTGGAGGCCAGTTGCGCAACACATTTTCTGATATTACTAATGAAAATGGTTTTTAAAGATATATGTGGATAGAGAACTGACGACTCATGGCTGTGAACCAATAGAGTTTTCGTTCCGCTACACTCTCTTGGACTTGCTTTACACTCAAAAATAGACGGCGTGTGTCAGGCAATAGAACTTGACGGCTGAAAACCTACGACGATAAAATGATCACTAAACAGATAATTCTGAATATAAATCTAAATCCAAAACCTAGTGGCATTAGAACCACACTCGAACTCACACAGCGGTTTTCTCATCGGCTCTCATTTTATGATTTGGCACACAACCGCTGTGTGAGTTCGAAAAGTGAGTTACAGAATCGCAGGGCTGGTTACTTTTCTTTCAGTAAAAGTCGTATTCAAATGATTGATTTTCAAAAAGCATTTTACTAAGTTCTCTAATGATTGCACAATTCCATAAAAACAACCTAAAACGAGGCTTCATTACCATGTTTTACACGTCTTCGACTTTGAGCAGGCCCTAAATCTAATTGACTTGTTTATATAAAAGATTCTCAGAATTTGGGGCATGAATTTAGCTAACTTTCCATTCTTTGGCGACGCTATTGACATAAGAAATACTGCTATTGATAAAAAATATAAAGTCTTTTTGCAGACATAAATGTATAGCTATGGACTTCCATGTGAAGAAGTGCAGTGTTGGCCTAGTGGCGTGCGAATCTCAGAGGTCGTAGGTTCGATCGCCGGCTGTGCACCAATGGACTGTCAGTCGTACGGTGAAGGAAAATATCGTGAGAAAACCGGCTTGCCGACCCAAAAAGTCGACGGTGTGTCAGGTACAGAAGGTCATCCTTCCTGATGACCTCCTTGTATAGATTGACAAATTATCATGAAACAGATACAGGATACTGAAGCCCAGAACTTCTGACTTTCTTAGTAATACTCAGGTGCCTATAAGTCTATATAGGCCGCGTAACAGGACAGCTTCCGTCGCAGACAGATTGGTTATGACAAAGAGATGTTTCGACAGTGGCCCGTAATTGTCCCTATCATTATTTTGAGATTAGTTTTGTTGAGGCTTAGAAGTTGCTTTGCCACTAGCAGGTTTACTGCTGGCAAATAACCATTGGTATCACTTCAAGCCAGGTTGGCGCCCCCTAGGCTCCTAGAGCCCCCAAAATCCTTAGTCCACATTTAATAATAATACCTAATAAGATTAAAAATATATTTTTTTTTTTTTTTTTCTCTAAAGGCATTTATGAGTTTGATAAGCCATCGTGGGCCTAGTAATCTCAAGAACTGTTTATCAAAGTCTCATTAAAATATCGCGTCGACAAAAGCTGACTAGCTTTGTACTATTAAAAGTAATTATAAGTTTCCAGTGCGTTCTCAAAGTTCACTGAGGGGTTAGCTTTGTGCATAATGACTGGTCATTTAACTTGTAACTTTAAATCGTGTTTAAATATCACTAGAGAGCTGGGTTTACGGGTAAATAAAGTTAAATATGCCACATTTTCTGTGGAATATGTAAACACATATTAAATGTATTTATTTAAACTTTCAATACATATATAGTCTTTAATACAGTTTTTATAGTAAAACCTCATTATATTAGGTCCTTACATATGAAATTGGCGTATTTCGTACTGGCTACTTTAATCAAGATGTTTTGGAATTGGAATGGAATGGAATTTGGAATTTGAATTTGTACAGCTATTTACTCATGTATTTGTGCTTCGATGACCGTCATTCATTTGTTTTTTTCTGTTTGCGTCACTCATTTTACAAAATGGAAAACTTAAAGTATCGCATTATTTACGAGTACGAGTTCCGCCGTGGCACTAGTGCTGCGGAAACGACTCGAAGGGTGAATGATGTGTATGGCGGTCATGTTGCAAAAGAAAACACAGTTCGTTTTTGGTTCCAACGTTTTCGTTCTGGAAATTTCGACCTGCAGAACAAGCCCCGTGGACGGCCTGAGACCCAAGTTGATAATGAAGTATTGAAGGCTATTGTGGAAGCTGATCCATCGCAAACCACGTCCGAGTTAGCTGCAGGCTACGGTGTTAGTGATAAAACTGTTTTAATTCAGTTGAAGCAAATTGGGAAGATTAAAAAGCTTGAAAGATGGGTACCTCACGAATTGACTGAAGCAAACCGGCAAACGCGCGTCGACTGCTGCGTTACATTACTGAACCGGCACAATAATGAAGGTATTTTACACCGAATCATTACCTGTGATGAAAAATGGATTCTTTACGATAATCGGAAGCGCTCAGCGCAATAGTCGGATCCTGGCCAGCCAGCCAAATCCTGCCCCAAGCGAAAATTAACCCCAAAAAGTTACTAGTAAGCGTTTGGTGGACTAGTGCCGGTATTGTTCATTGCAGTTTTCTCAAATCTGGCCAGACTATTACGGCTGATGTCTATTGTCAGCAATTGCAAACCATGATGGAAAAGCTAGCGGCTAAACAACCTGGGCTGGTCAATCGCTCCACGCCACTGCTACTTCACGACAACGCTAGACCACACGCTGCACAACAGACGGCTACTTAATTAGAAGAGCTTCAATTGGAATGTCTAAGACATTCTCCGTACTCCCCGGACCTTGCTCCAACAGATTACCATTTTTTTCGAAATTTGGACAACTTCTTGCAAGGGAAAAAATTTAACTCTGATGGGGCAGTCCAAATCGCCTTCACAGATCTTATTGATTCCCATCCGACTGTTTTTTTTAGTAAAGGGATCAATGAACTACCTATGAGATGGCAAAAGTGCATAGAAAACAATGGTTCATACTTTGATTAAATGAATATATTATATTTAAAAATATTCGACCTTTTTTTCCTCCCATACAAAACGCCAATTTCATATGTAAGGACCTAATATTATTGATATAATTTACTACAATCTTTCAACTTACCGTAACTTTGTTTATCATGCTCTTAATGAGGTTTAAGTTTTCATTTATTTTTAGTTATTATTGTTTTTATTTTTTGTTTTGTGGTTACTTATTTTTCTTTTCCCTTGCTTGCTTATGTTCTAATATAATTGATGTGTATGTGTGTAAAATTTGTGATGTAATATTTTCTTGTATAATTTTATGCATACACATTGTTTTAAAACTTATAAATAAATAAATTGGAATTGCACAATTATATCATATAAGAAGGGTTTCAGGGAACGAATTCTGGGTACTTTAAACTTATGTATTATAGCTAAAGTAAGATACAATACAAAATTCAAAGAATTGTAAAAGAAATTTAAATTGACTGAATCCGAATCGATTTTTTTTAAATCGACCTGTCAACCGGAAAATAACTGATTAAATTAGTATTTATCTAGAAACTATAATAAACATGTATCTGTGAGGAGTCCTAGAGGCATTACTATGTATCTCATCTCAAAAAAGAAAGGATATGAAGGAAATGTTTTTGATTGTTCATCTCGATATGGCTTTTAGTTTCCGATAAAACATACATACGAAGTCAAATAAATCATTGGACTCAATAATTAAACTCTTTTTTTTAACTATGCCCTACTCTACGACTGGTTTAGTCTTTTCAGAGAACACAGTTTCAAAGCTATTATTTCATTGTATTAATATTTGGCTTATAAGTCCGGGGATAAAGAAAGTTAATTCCTTGTTACCATGGTTACCCTTTTCTTACCAACCTACAAGGAAAAATCAATTAAAATATATCAATTTTCTCTATCTACGCCAAGAGAATGTTACAAGGAAAATCGGAATTCTTTCTTCTTCCCTGTGGCATTATACTAATGTTGATGGCATTTCCATGCCGAATGTCTTTACTTAGTTGTAATATACACTTGTAGTCCGTACCTCATTTGCTTATACCATTTAAAAGGCCACTTTAATTGGGTTAGACGCGCTGTGATGCCCAATGCCCATGTTATATAATGTTCACCGTATTCTCCAGATTTAGCCCCCAGCGACTTTTTCTTACTGGACAATTTTGCGCTGATGAAGAGGTAATCACTCAAACGGTTAAAATTTTAAGGCTACAGACAAATCGTACCAGAAAAAATGGTATCGAAAAATTGTATGACCGATCGTTGTATCGCTCCTGAAGGCGCTTTTCAATAATCAAATCAAATTCTATAAAAAAAAATATTTTTTCTTTGTTAGCCTACAAACTTTGCAACCCACCTAATATATAAATGTATATATTACACCAATTTGTTTCTATGCCTATATTAATTGTCAAACAATGTATAGGTAGTTATAGTTTTTTGGTCAATAACTTTTCTTTGAAATTTGGATCACATTTTGAATTACTTAGACGTATAGTGAACAGTTGTTAATAAAATATAATTTGTATTAATTTAATACTTCGAACATTAATAACGGAAAAAGAAAACAAATGCGCTCTCTAATTCAGCTGATATATATAGAAATCTTCTGTGCATGTGTTTGTAATCAAACTCCTAAACGGCTGGAAATTTTTGTGAGTTCAAATGGAGTCGAGAATGATTTAGATTATTAGATTTTTTTTTGCATGTAAGACGTGTGTACAGGACATCTATCGGATCCGCTAGTCGTACATGACATTTCTCAAAAGCATTTAATTGTGTTTTGTAGTAAATATCTACATTTAAATCCCTCTAAGTTCTATTTTAAAGGTAAATAATATTTATCGAGCCGGAAATAAAACAAATTGGAGTCCTAATAAACATCACATAATTACAGTCGACCCACATTAACAACCCAAGTAAT